AACACAGGAGAGGGACACAGAGAGGGACACAGAGGGTAACACAGGAGAGGGACAAAGAGGGGAACACAGGAGAGGGACACAGAGAGGGACACAGAAAGGAACAGAGTGGGACACAGAGAGGGACACAGAAAGGAACAGAGTGGGACACAGAGAGGGACACAGAAAGGAACAGAGTGGGACACAGGAGAGGGAAACAGGGAGCTAAACCTTAAAACTTAAGAAAAACACAATCAATGCTTGAAATGAAAACTCTCTTATATAAACACAGGGTTTCTCTCTTTGGGGGTTTTCTGACTTCCATTAGGAGCCCTTAGCTTTCGATCATCAAATGTGTTGAGGTTTTCTGATCTCTTGCTATTGTTTCTCCACATGAATTCCTCTATTATCAGCATCAATTTAAGCCTCTTTTCTGTGTGTCGTGTTGATCCCTGATGCTGAGCGTTTATGTTCCAGTGCATCCACCGTGATGTGAAGCCCGAGAACATCCTCCTGACCAAAACCGGAGTCATAAAGCTCTGCGACTTTGGCTTCGCCCGCATCCTGAGTACGTCGACCAGAGAGCTGCTGCATTTATGAGCATTTAGTGTTAATGTGCCTCTAATGACTTATTCAACGTGGAACCTATATCATCTCCTGTCGACAGCCTCCACACTTCAGTGTTTCAATAATTGCATTACACAGGAGGACCATTCAGCCAGTTAGTGCACCTCTGTGTAGTGTGTCTCTGTTTACCCATCCTGCCTTAGGTTTCAGTGTTACATTACCATACAATAACGTGCAGTCATTCATCCTGCCTTGTAATCCCCTCCTTACAATGTGTGTGTTACTTAGTGTTCATTATTCAGTATCTAAGTGTAGCTGCGTACACCTTATCGTTGTGTGTGTGTTGCTATACCAAACAGGGCCAGAGGATGACTACACAGACTATGTGGCGACCCGCTGGTATCGGGCCCCGGAGCTGCTGGTTGGAGATACTCAGTACGGGCCTCCTGTGGATGTGTGGGCTCTGGGCTGTGTCTTTGCTGAGCTGCTCCACGGGAATCCACTCTGGCCCGGGAAGTCTGACGTTGACCAGCTCTACCTCATCAGAAAAACTCTAGGTAGACTGAAAAGTAGCCATATTTGAGGGAGCTTAAAAATAAGTAACCTACATATGAATACACAAATTTCATTTGCACAATTATGAAGACACATTTTTAAATATTGCATCAAACCTAACTGTCTTGACATGTCCTGATATCAGCAAATTAAATTTACTTGTAGATGATATTTTTTATATATTTATTTCAAACTCAAACAACATTGATACCTGGTATGAAAAACTACCCGAGCGCAGACCTACAAACTTGGTGCCATTAATCATTCACCTGTCAGCTTTCACTCCTTTTGGTTGCAAGTTAACTTATATTGAGTTGGCAAACACTGCAAAGATTCGTTGAACTGAAACAAGCAGGTTGGGAGTGAAAGCTCCCTGAAGAAACACAAATTGACTTCTAATTTACCAAACACACACACACACTCCACTTAAACTTTTCTCATTCCTGGCCTCAGGTGACCTGATCCCTCGTCACCAGCAGGTCTTTCGCTCCAACGTGTTCTTCACTGGAGTCAGCATTCCTGAACCTGACACAACGGTACGAACCCTGTGACCCCACTGGGAGTGCATATGTAACAGGTGAAGTGATGACCTGTAGTCAAGGTGAAGTGATTCTGTTTACTTTTGTTGTTAGGAACCTTTGGAAAAGCGCTTCCATGGAGTGTCGCCTCAGGCCCTCCAGGTTATGAAAGTATGTTTTGTTCATTTATTCATATATATGTAAGAGCCTGACTGATATGTCAGATTTGGTCACAACTCTTTAACAACCAAATTTAAGGTATTTGACAGGGCTCTGTCAATGTTTGTGTGAGCAGTCGTGCCTGGTGATGGACCCCGCTCTCCGGCTGTCCTGTGAAGAGCTGCTGGAGCTGCCTTATTTCCAGGAAGAAGGAGCAGCCAACTGGGGCCGTGAGGGTGAGCGCCCAGGAAGACGACATGACAAAGGCTCCCGACGCAGACAGGCAGGGGTGAGTGTGGACCACGATGCCCTAATCATTCCCACAAGTTAAAACTTAAACACTGGGCATGTCCTTGGTCACATAACCGTTACCCTGATCTCTGAGAGAGGAATCAACTCTTAACCACCATCTGAAAACTTTTTGTGGAATTAATATCAATTTAAAGTACAAGGACAATTCATTTTACTGTATTATATATGCCACCATGTTGAAGCACCATCTCAATAATAAGATAGATTTATTTTACAGAAAATACAGCAATGCAAAAGCAAGAGACTTCAGCTTTCACCAAAAGTGTATTCACCAAAAGCAAACAATGACCAAGGAACGTGAAGAAGCTTTACATTGAAGACTTTGAAGGAAGTTTTCATAAACGATATTAAATTAATTTTGTGGTAGGAAGTAAATATATTCTTACTTGACCTCTGACCACTAAATTCTAGAAAAGTTATCTTCTAGCCCAAGAGAATGTTTGTACAAAACTTTAAGAGATTCCTTCATGTCCCGTTCACCAGGCCAGAAATTTGTTTGTGAGGGTTCTGTGGCATTGACCCTTGACCAGGAAAATGTAAACAATTTACCCCAGAGTCCAAGTTAAAATTTGAACCAAATTTGAAGAAATTCCCTCAAGGCTTTGTGAGATATCACATTCACGAGGGCAGGATGGCCAACCTGAAAACACTATGCTCTGGCATGTTAAGGCATGAAAATGTTCAAGATGTGCACAACAGATATTTATGTTTATTACTTGTGTTAACCCCCCCCCCCCTCTCTCTCTAGGCACAGTACCTGCCTCAGTTACCAAACAGCAACATCTCACCAGCACCGGATGTGAAGAAACAGGTGAAGCATAAATATCACCTGCCCAACATTTAACGATGCATCAAACTGCTCTACGTGTTCGTGTTTGAACTGAGAGACATGGACTTTGTTTCCTGAAATCCTTTGAATACAGTCAACACATTTAAATACACATGCTGTTTATTCTTGGTGTGAGAGTCAGAACGAGTATCAATCCTGTGATCACTTTCACTTGTTCACTTGATATTCTTAACAAGACAAACAAGGAGGAGTTTGGTCAGTGCTGGCACAAATACAATGGATACTTCATTTTTACACTCTATAAAATCATAGAAAACATCTCATAGGAGTAAGAATCACCAGTGTGCCATCATCACTCAGACATATGTACCAGAATTCTCTTCTTTTCGGGCTAAGTCAGTGTTAACAGCTGATTCATCTCTTTAACCAGTACATTTATTTGTAGATATGTTTTATTGTAGAAAACAATATAGGATGAATAAATGCATTACCTGTAGGTTCAGTAAACATGGAAGCTTTATACTATTAAAACCATAATATATTGCAGTACAATATTTCATACCTAATACTTGATGTGTAAGATCCTAACCAAGTGTTACCAAGGTTTAATAAAACCTGCCATGATAGCCGATACTCGTTTCAGCCTCAGTGTTCGACAATGATCCCTTAAGTCTGACATGGACAGTGATGCAGTGGAACACAAATCCACACACTGACACGCTGCTTGATGGATCACCTTGAACTTATCAGATTACTGACATAACTCCTTGTCATAGCTCACTGAGCAAAGCCCTGTAAACCAGCAGGACTTGATCAAGGATTAAAGGGCCCAACACTTTAAATTGATGGTATTTAACCTGTTACTTGTTCATAATTGAAATACATTGTCTTACAATTCTTCTCATGTATTATCGTATGATTCCTGCATTTTCTTAAAAAAACAAAGAGCGCAGAGAAATAAAGCAAAAAAACGACCCAAAACAACCAATTTCCGTTCATAAGATGAAACGTCAAATAGTAAGACGGGAGATACCCTATTAGATAAACTTTGTAAGTTGTATACTCTGTGGTGTAATTAAAATACAAGTGACTAAGTGATATATTAAGCAAGACAGCTTCTCTAAAATCTTTAGTAAACCTGTTGATATATCAGATCTTTTGTATAGTGTAGCGGTTTGTGTCTTGTTAATTGTATGTTTGGCATCGAGGAGGAGGACTGTGCCACAATTTCGTTGTGCTAGTGTATGAAGTACGACCGTGCAATGACGATTAAGTCTTTTGAATTTGAATTTTGAATTGATAAACACTTTGTTAAACCTAAAACATTTGACACATGGACACAGAAGATATAAAAACATGGATTCACACTTTTAGGTAAAGTCAATGCAAACATCTGAGTTATGGGCACAGGAGAAAGAATTACTAAGTCATCTGTCCTGAGTTATGCTGCCATGAAATGTATTGCCTTTGGTATCACATAATCCACTTTTCAGAAGAAGAAGATCCAATGAACGGATGAAAAAGCAAATTATGCTGTAACTGATCACGATAACCGCGGCGTGGCGATGATGTTGTACGTTCGGGGCAAATTGGCGAAGCTGCTGTACTCAGGGCTTAGGTCAACACTGTCAGGACCTCCGGAACAAGAAAAGGTGAAATGCTGTAGAAGTGACACCAGGAAGAGGAAAAGCTCCATGCGTGCGAGGGACTCTCCAACACAAGATCTCTTTCCTGAGAAATGACCACAAACCAGTGAGAATGAAAATATAGTAAGCACTTGAGACAGAGAATTTTTACATCCCGTCTTTGGCACAAACTCTAAAATCTGTTAAGCAAGCTGGTCCAATGTTCAGCCACATTTTTATGACATAGATGGATATTTAAAAAATAATTCACCTGCAGAAAATGGCATGAAAGCAGGATTTTTCTTTAAATTGCCATTTTGGTCCAGGAAATGCTGCGGATTGAAGGACCAGGGTGTTGCCCACTGTTTTTCCTCTTTGAGCACAGAGTGCAACAAGGGAATGATCAATGTATTCTGTCAACACAAGAGGTGGAACATTTATTATCTGAAAAAAAGGTTGTATCAAGAACACTTCATGCAATGAAACCAGACTACCTTGGGAATAGTGTAGCCCCTGAAAGAGATGTCCTGTAGGGCGTAGTGTGGAACGTTCATGGGAACAATGTCTAACAGACGCTGAATTTCATGGAGAACCGCGTCTGTAAAGGGGAGGGACTTCCTGTCCTCCATGTGAGGATAACGGTGCTGTCCAATCACAGTGTCAATCTCCTGCTGCATACGCTCTTCAGAATGAGGGAACACAGGTGAACACATTTAGTGCAGGAACAATTACTGAAATGTTCAATTACTACATCAACAAAAAAATGTCATCTAAGTGTTTTCCAGTTTGAGCGTCTAAATTCTGAAGAATTGTTTCTAACATATTTTACACACACACGATATTCATCTCAAGAGAGAATGTAGCGTTAGCATAATGTTAGCATTGTAAAGTTTGGTCAAACGAACCACATTAGTCGATCTGAAAACTTTCACAAGATTAACAATGCAGAGATGTGCATTTATGTTCATATTTTACATTAAAAGACATTTAATATTCATTTAATATTGTTTTATGTATTTGGATGTAAGTTTGTTTTCTTTTGATTTATAGTTAATAAAATAAAACAATAAACAATAAAAAAAGTAAAATATTCTTCTTCATAATGACATTGTAGGAATCAGGAATCATTGCGATATGTGCAATAATAACACATTCTCCCTCTCTCTCTCTACATATATATATATATATATTGAGGAATATATATGTGAAGTTACAAAGAGCAAGTAAAGTCAAGATGTTGTTTTTCTTTTTAAATCATTAGACCAGTTTCTTCTTATACACTAGTTTCCACTGGTTGTGACATACCTTGCACTTTGGGATATTTGATGAACACACTTAGTGCAAATCTGATGGTTGAACTGGTAGTTTCTGTTCCTGCCAAATACAGATTTAACACCGTTGACACCAAGTTTTCATAGTGGAATTCCGATGTGGGATCATTTTTTTCCTAAAAGAGCAAGATGAGAACCATTTTACCTTTATGAGAAAACAACCTGCAAGAATAAAATTCAAGATGTCCAAATCTTAGACTTCATATTTATATATAGTTTGCACATTAGTGCTAGTGGTGTTTTGCTGCTGTATCAAGGTCCTAATAATACATTCAACCAATCAGGAGTCAGTCTCAGATTTCTATCATTATTAGTCAGCCCAGAAACAGTGTGATAGGAACGACATACAATTACAGAAACCATCTATAGAAAAATGTATTTAACATGTATTTTGACTTTTTGGTTTTGTCCATGTCCCATCCACTGAGATAGAGGAGGCAGGATTTATGACCTATACTGCAGACAGCTACCATGAAGTGATGCAGATGATTTGGATTCATTTATGTGTCATTTCGTCCATCTTTATATACAGTATGGTTCCAATGCACTAAAGTGACCTTATCCGTACAGCTAGTGGTCAGAAGTTTGCTGTTGATGAACTTTGTTGTACCTGACTGAGTCTGAGCAGGAAGCAGTCAATGTAATCTCTGGGCGAGCTCGTGTCCAGCGTGTCTTCGTGTTCCTGGATCTTTCTCATGATAAACTTTCTCAGCTCATCAATTCTTGCAAAAAGTGTGTGCTGTCGACCTGGCAGCAATTCCATCAGTCGAGGGAAGACGTTATACAGCTGTGACGGGGAGAGTAAAAGACTAAAGTTAAGTGCCAACCTGAATATGGTCTCCCTGAACTGTCACTCACCCACCCTGCCGCTGCGCATCCTCCCACCTCCTCCTCTCACCTGACCAAAGGGACTGCTGCCAAACTTCAGGACTTCTGAGATTGTCTGCAGCAAGTAGAGGAATTCTTCATCGTCATAGCTGAAGCGCTGACCAAATACCAAGCAGCAGATCACGTTGGATACAGTGCAGCTCAAGTAGAAGGTCGGATCAAAAGATGTATCTGAAGGGAAAATCATTAGAAAGTGTTTGGTCTCAGTTAGAGAACTTTTGATTTGAAATTTCAGATACAATGTGGGTGAATAAAAATTTGTGCACGAGCTTCAAAGAGACCTTTTTATTTCAACAACTTTCTTTCACAGCATTAACTTCTCTTGAATTAGGTTCACAAGTAACAAGTGGCATTAGTTTGCTGAGTTTGGTCCGTGAGAGCAGAGAATGAACAAAGTGAAAACTGTAAACATCTGTTCCTGCACATTGAAATATGTCCCAGCCTGCAGTTTTGACTTAAAAAGATTAATTATAGCTCAAATCTATTGACTGGTTTATCAAGCAAAAAGTGACAAACTAAACCTAAACTAACCCTGTCACCTAAAAAACATGCAGACATAAAATATCAAATATTCTCTTTGGCAGAATCTGGCAGATATTCATTAAAGTTTTTTAAAAAGTCAGGTCTTCATATTTGTCTTAAAAAATACAAGTCAAGATCTCCTGCTGTTTTTACAGTTCATTTAAAGCTGTTTCAGCCTGATTGATAAATACACTGACAGTGAGTGCACAGTTATCCTCCAGATACTCTACATACCTTTCAAACTGTTAAAGCGGGCCACCAGATGACTGCTCTCCTCCTGGATCCACTCTTCCATCCCCTTGCGTCCCATTCCAAAGTCTCTGAGAGTTGTCAAGGTGAAACGCCTCAACTGCCGCCAGCGCTCTCCATTACTGATCACCAAACCTTGGAAAATGAAAAGATGGCTTAAAGAAAAAAAAAAGAAATCTGGCCTCCACATTCAAAGCAAACAGGCAGCTTGTTGCTATATAAGAGTCTAGGGTGCAATAAAACAAGAGGGCCGGATGGAAACACAGATTTGCAGTCTGGTGTTAACTACAAGAATCCCATAATACCATAGCCCTTGGTGGCTCTGAACAGGAAAGGAATCTGTCCTCTGCCTGTGAAGTCATCTGCTTGGTCCACCAGTGCCTCCTTCACAGTGTCGTACCCAACCAGAACCACAATGCGCTGACGGCCCAGATACACAGTCATCACAGGGCCGTAGCTTTCACTGAGCTGGAGGTTAAATACAACAACAAAGATGAATGGGATTCTTGTACAGAATTATGAGGAACAAAGTAAAAATGCCCAACGTGAAGCAGAAAGCAAGTCAGACACACTGGAATAATCACTGAAACACATATAGGTCATATGAAAATATCTATATCAAAATTATACTTCTGTGATATAGTCCCAGAACAAACAAAAGGGCTACACATTGAAAATAATTAGATTACCCTTCATTTTTACATGTACTCTTATACAAAAAATACAGTCCAAATACTTATGCCTTCATCAGGGTGTACTGATGAGAAAGAGTAATTGTTTGCAGTCACTATACTTCCATTTTCTATATTATTTGTGCAATGCCCCTAGAGGCCAGGTAAAATACTGCATGTTTTCACCTTGCACACCTGCGACTGCAAATAATGCCTCTTTATGAAGGCATGCGCCAAAACGCCTTGGTGTGTTTTAAAGCTTCAAGCCCACTGAGATAAAGAAGTCAACAATGGGACCAACTTCCTCATAATGTGTGCGTGCGTGCGTGCGTGTGTCTTACCTTGCACATGGTTTTGAACGGGGCCCTCTTGTCCAGCTGCAGCAGGTTTCCTATGAGGGGGAGGCCTGAGGGTCCTGGAGGTAACCTCACCTGAGCCCGACTCCTCAGACTCAGCAGCCACAGCACAGAGAGGACCAGCCCCACCGCTAAAACTACAGTCACGTCCATAACGTGCCGGTGAACCGGGCCCCGTCGTCTCTCGGACTCAAACACCACTTGTTGTCTGACCCACTTATTGTCCCGCTGAAGACACAGAGGTCACACTGAGTAACTACAGCTCTGTGAGGAGTCGCTGAGGACGTGCACTGCTCCAACTGTGTCTCATGTCTGTGTGTTTCCACTTTATCTGAAACATAAACACACGAAACAAATACACAGACTCAACCATTAGGCAAAGGTTAGGCATACGGCAATTAGGTAATTGCCTTATGCCCCGAAATACCAGCGGGCCCATTAAGAACCGTATAAATTTATGGTTAAGATTTATTTTAACTGTTTAACTTTCCGTTAATTAATCATTTCTTTCTTAAAGCCCATAAGCTAAAACGGCAGCAGAATGGCTATAATTCAAAAGTAACTAATGTCTCTGCAACCCCCCTCTACAATGGACTATTCCATTAACGCGTTCACGGAAGTGATTCAGGGTGTAAACACAAAGTGGTGAAAAGTGTTGCGCACTTAAAAACAACTAGTTCACTTCATACAAATGAAAACGAACCAGCTCACATTCATTTGTTCCGTTTTTTATTGGGATGATTTAGATGATGGTCATGTGTTTAGTTATTAATCGATGGTGTCGGATCAGGAATCTGTGTCGCTGCGGTCATTTTAACACCGAGTCCTGTGTGTCTCCTCTCGTGTTGTTCTTGAGCGCACACATTATGTGGATGACTTATTGTTCATGATGTTTGAAATGCAGCCTCATTAACTCTGGAATCAAGCAGACACTGAGTTGCCCCATGTACTGATCAGGTCCTGATCACTAGTGATGGGCGTTTATTAGTTACAGTGAGAGCAGCTCAGGGTGGAAGAGGAAACAGAAACTCCAGCTTCAGCTCTGATCACTGAGCAGCTGTGACCAGAGGAACTCTGTGTCTCACTGTTTCCACTGAAGTTCAACTAAGTCTCTGACCTGCTGCTTCATGAACGAGCTCTGATCTCACTGTGTGTGTGTGTGTGTGTGTGTGTGTGTGTGTGTGTGTGTGTGTGTGTGTGTGTGTGTCGCTCTGAGCGAATGAGCGCTCACACAAACACATTTTCACTGCCCCTGGTATTTCACATGAGAGCCTTTACGATGTTGATTTAAAAAACGTGAGCATTGAGATAAAAACATTCAAGGGAGAGAAAGAAAAAGACAGGGACAAAGAGAAATGGTAATCATGTATATTTTATTATTTCAGTAACTCCATAATTGACCTCCTATTTCCTTGTGTGTTATCTTCTCACTTAATCAAAACAAGACAGAGGCCTATCATCAACTTACTCCGAGATCCTGCTGAAAAAAGGTTATAGATGACAGATGAAATCAGAGTTTCATTACATGCTGTATACTGTGTTTATCTGCTGTGTATATGACAATAAACATCTTGAATTTTGAATGGATAATAAGGTTCATTCTTGTTGTATAAAAAAACAACCTTACATTTATAAAAAGCCTTTGAAATGTTGATGAGAAGCTGTTACTAAGATAAGATAAAACTTTTCTGATCAAATTCAGTTGTAACAAGAAC